CACCTACTTTTTCACTCTGTGGTCTGAGTCTAATTGATATCCCTAATCAACAAAACATAACCTGTTCAGTCTTCCCCCCCGCCCCAAGAGTTCTCTTTTCTTTCCTTTTCAGAAATAACCAACTCCACCAACGACATCGTGGAAACAAACACCACATCCAGCAAGCCTATCAGCAGCACTGTGGAAACAACCCTCATCTTCAATATAAGAACCTCTGCAGCATTGTGCCTACCCATTTACATGCTATATGCACAGAAAACTGGAAAAAGATTCTTATCATGGTCCAGCATGATATAGAAGAAATACATCAGCTGCTAACAAGTCAAAAGGGATGGAGAACATCGATGGTGGGAAAGTTTATTTGGATGGTCACCAACCACAACAGGACTGTTTAATTCCATGTTGTACCCGGTCATGATTTTCTTAATTCTAATTTTAGTATGTTTACTGCTCATAATTGTGTTGTATATTAAGGTTTGGAGAATGGTTAAACAAATTGCTCAGTTACAAAAGTATCCCCATGTGTATACTATCCCAAAATAATTTATTTCTCTGAAGCTAATCAAACACAAAATTTCCTTCAATTATAATTAGATTATGGCATCCTCTGTTTATAGGCATAGAGGCAAGAGGCAACCATACTGCCACTCTATGGACAAGATGAATTGCCTTTAGTCACGGGGTGGATTGTGGTGGTGCAATTCTTACCCCTCCCTGCCCTCCTTGTTGGGCTGCTTGGTGCCAAGTGTGATTCCATCCACATTCCCCCAGGCCATACACCAATCTGTGGAGATAAGGACTGATAACCTTGAGGAGCCTGGCTCCTGCCCCTCCCAATTGCTCAGAAACTGTTATAATGGCCCATCATCTCCTGATGACCTGACACACCTGTGCCTGGGATGTGATCAGATGGAACAATAACAGGGTTGCATGTTACTGAAATTCTTGTGCAACTGCTGGAAGGCACCAGATAGTATTTGACAAAAGTCAATTATCTTGGACCCTATAAATTGTGACCACCAGAGAGACCCTTTGAGCTCTCCTGGATTGCAGCGGGCCTGTGACCAGCATCTCCCCTGAGCAGGGACGCCTCTCAGGTGTCATCTGCTCCAGACGGAAGGCCAGGGTGAAGTCCCCCCGCTCGAGTCTCAATTATCGCCTGTTGAGGAATGCCAAGGCATTGGGAGTATTTGTTCTAAACTAGAGAGGGAAATTTTCTTTGAGCTAGCTTCTATTCCACCTCTTTATTGGGGGAGGTGTGTGTGAGTACGTACCCTTACCCTTGTTCCTGTGTGCTTGTCCCTTTGGTGTTCATTTTACCGAATCCAAACCCTTTGTTTCTGTATGTATATGTCTGGTTTCTGTATGCGCATGTACATATGTGTATAAATTAAGGTACCGTTAAGTAAGTTAGAGTGAATCTTGTCATTTTAGAACCTCAGTCGCTTTTCTTTCTGAGTTATTTTGTATTGACAAATAGTTGTTAGTTATTAATAAATCTAGACTATTTACCTAAATTATTACCATGTCAATACTTCCACCCGCGACACCCTTCTGCAGGAAATTCTTACTAGTATCTAGTCTAAACCTTCCCTGGCGCAACGTGAGGGTATTACCTCTTGTCCTACTCTTATTACTTGGCTCAAGAGACTCACCCCCCCTCTCTGCACCCTCCTGGCAGGGAGTTGCAGAGGGCCAGCAGGTCTCCCCTCAGCCTCCTCTTCTCCAGACTAAACCCCCCCAGTTCCCCCAGCCACTCCCCAGCAGACCTGTGCTCCAGACCCTGCCCCAGCTCCGTTGCCCTTCTCTGGACACACTAAAGTCACTCAATGGCCTTTTTGGGGTGAGGGGCCCAAAACTGAACCCACTCATCCAGGGGTAACCTCACCAGTGCCCAGCACAGGGCTCAGATCCCTTCCCTGTCCCTGCTGGCCACGCCAGTGCTGACACAAGCCAGGATGTCATTGTCTTTCTTGGCCCCCTGGGCACACTGCTGGCTCATTATCAGTTCCCCCCCAGGTCCCTCTCTGACTGACAGCTCTCCAGCCACTCCTCCCCAAGCCTGTAGCCCTGCTGGGGGCTGTTGTGGCCCAAGGGCAGCCCCGACATTCGCCCTTAGTGAAACTCCACCAGTTGGCCTCAGCCCATCACTCCAGCCTGGCCAGGTCTCTCTGCAGAGCCTCCCTACCCTCGAGCAGATCAACACTCCCACCCAACTGGATGTCATCTGCAAACTGACAGAGGGTGCACTCGATCTCCTTGTCTACATCATCAATAAAGATGTTAAACAGGAGTGGCCCCAAACCCAGCCCTGGGGGACACCACTCGTGACTGGCCACCATCTGGATTTAACTCTGTTCACCACAACTCTTTGGTCCTGGCCATCCAGCCAGTTTTTTACCCAGCAAAGTGTGTGCCCATCCAAGCCATGAGTAGCCAGTTTCACCAGGAGAATGCTGTGGAAAACAGTGTCAAAGGCCTTACTCCTGAGCCCATCTCACAGCCCCATTTCTGCTTCAGCCCTGTCCCAGGAGAACTGTAAGGCTGGCAGTCATAAACTGGGGCACAGCCCAGCTCCACAGCCACGGGGGTGTTTGTCTGGGCTGGTTTTGGACAATGCCATGGCCGTGTTTGTCTGCCCTGGCTTTGGACAACCGCAACTGTCACCCCCTGGGCAAGGAGCTGGCCGACAGGCTTTGAGCTGGTCGGCCTGGAGCCTGAGACTGAAAGCCACGGTGCAACCGGGGAGCAGCAGAGCTCACAGCCCAGCCTTCCTGATGTCTCCAGGAAATTTTCTTCTCTGCTCATACTGAACTTGTAAATAGAAGAACGACAGGGGCAGGTTCTGATTTAAGACACAGTGAAAAGAAGCAGCCAGGAGATAAGGGAGTGAGTTTCTCCAACTTTGAATAAACAATGTGTGTCTTCGCTAACAACTATACCTTTGAAGAGCAGTTAAGAGTAATAAAAGGGGAACATCCTGTCCCCCAAGACACCAGATGCTTGGAAGATTGTCTGAGAAGAATTAATTCAGCAAGAATCAGCAATAACTGGGGGGAAAGATAAAGGTGTTGGGGGGGGGGGAGGTGATGAAGGGAGACCGTGACAACTGACTCAATTCAAGGCCAAAAAGAATTGGCCCCCCCATGCCTCTAAGGAGCATGTGTGCTAATTTACACAACAAGCAAGAGTAATTTAAATATAACTAACCAACAGGAGATGGAATATCAATTACAGACCCATGAGTGCAATCTTAGACAGGTTTTTACTAATCATGTAACAAGATAAATAAGCTGTAATTCCTTTGTGTCGCAGGTGGAATTAGCACCTAGACCCAATCTTTGTGCAAAAAGGCCTTAAACTGATAGCTCTGTGTGTGAGATTGGCTTTTTTGCACACAGGGTAATGAACACTGAAGGACAACAAAAGCCCTGTAAGAGTTAACAGAAAAACACACTATTCCTATTACTGTAGTAACAAAACTTGCTGGGGGGCTCCCGGGGGCTCTGGGGGTAGGGCTGCCCGGTGCCTGTGCCCCAGGGGCTCTGTCTCCTTCCCCCTCCCCAACCCAGCTCTCACTTTACTCCTGGGCCTGCCCTGGCCGGGCCCAGCTCCAGCTGACCAGGAGCACACACGCCCACCCCCCCCGCTCCCCAGGCATCCAGCGGGCAGGAGAAACCCCGACACCTGCCCAAGGGCCCCAGGGGTGACCCCAGTACTGACCGCAGCCGGGCCGCAGCTGGAGCAAAGGCTGCAGCTCCCGAGACCAACATGGCCGCCGGTGAGCCCCGTGCCCAGGACTGCAGCTCCCAGCATGCCCCGGGAACCAACATGGCAGCCCCGTGCCCAGGACTGCAGCTCCCAGCATGCCCCGGGGCGCCGGTTCCCGCGGTCTGACCCTGCGGGGACACCGTCCCCCGGCCCGGCCCCACCCCCGCAGCCCCATGGCCGCCTCCCCGGGCTGCTCCGGCCGGTGGAGCAGGGGAGAGGCGGGGGAAGAGTTGAAGGAGAAGAAGAAGAAGAAGGAGAAAAAGAAGAAGAGAGAGGGACAGAGCGGCAGAGAGGGGAGGGACAGGGCGTTGGGCTGTCTGGAGAGGGACGGGTGGTGGGCAGAGGGATGGGAAACGGGCAGTGGGACGAGGAGAGTGGGGGGAGCTGGGCAGGGAGTGGGGGAAGGAGAAATACTGGTGAGGAGCCGGGCAGAGGGGCAGAGCAGGAACAGTGTGGAGGGGAAGGGGACAGCGGGTGCAGGAAGACAGAGAGGGGTGAGCCTCAGGACAGAGGGACAGAGAGAGGAGAAGGGCAGGAAGGAGGACAGAGGGACGGACAGACACAGGCAGGGCGAGTGAGCGGGCCGGGGGGCGAGAGACAGCAAAGGCACCAGCAGAGTGGAGGGACAGAGACATGGGACAGGGATCAGGAGAGAGGGACGGAGGGGAGAGCAAGGGAGAGGCAGGGACAGAGAGCAGGGCACGGAGCAAGAGAAGATGGAAACAGTCCCAGGAGACTGAGAAACAGGGTGTGGGTCAGGACAAGGGGCTGAGAAGGACACAACAGCGATGGCCTCCGGGATGGAGATGGAGGAAGAGCAAAAGGGGATGGGGAGCAGAACAGAGGCCCAGAGAGAGGGCCCAGGCAGCTGAGCAGGGTTGACAGGGGGGAGAGAGGGGACAGGCTGCAGGAGAGAGAGGGAAAATAAGGCCAGGAAGCAGCACATGGTGACAGAAAAAAGAGGACAGGGAGTGGAAGAGAGAGATGTGGAGAAAGGAAAAAAATAGCAACAGGCTATATCATGTCTATAAATTATGACAAAGGTGTTGGGGGCACCGGTTACCTGGAGGGATACTGAATGTTATGTGTAATCTGTGATTTTTAACGTACTACAAAGTGAGTAATCCAAACTTGTTTTCATAGATTTGAATGATAAACTATTAATCCAGCATAGCATAAAACAGACCTGTACCTGTTACTACGAACTACTGTGCTTCAACTTTTTTCTTAGAGTTACTGATGAAATGCACATCTAGTGCCAAATGAAGAGAACTTCCTGCTCACGCTCCGTGCAATTAAACTGTGGGCAAAATATGAATAAGGTGATTGTTCATAATCTTTAAGCTTTTCAGAGACACCTCATGCTGAAAAGCTAAGACCATTAGAAGTACTTCAGCTTTGGATAGCCATTTAAGTGACAGTTTTCAAACAAAACCCTGGTTTTTAGTTTTGATTCAAGGTCTGTCCATGCGGTGGAGTGGGTGTGGTTTTTAATGGGAGTAGAGTGGGGAGAAGAGGGGAGTGCCTACAAGACAAGGTGCTTTACTGCTTATCAGGAACCTGACTACAGATTGTAAAAAAGACAAGTTAAGCGTAAAAGCTTGATCTATAAGGAATAAGGAAGTATTGTTTGGGTATGCGTCTAGAGCAAGTGCTAGAAGAATGACAGCATTTTTTTCTTAAGGGAAGTTGGAGTGAAGCAGTAGCTGTAGCAGTGTAGGCAAATTTCAGAGTAGCAGAATTTTGGGAAGTGGTGTGGGAATGATCCTTTTTCTCATCGCTGTTAAGGACCAACAGTTTTGGCCTCATGGCACTGCAATAACAACTGACTTTGAGGCTGAAGTGTAGTGAGTATTCTATAGATTGTGAAGTTGGTGCTGCAAATTTGAAGGAATATCCTTGGGTATTGAAAGACTACAGGCGAACTGCAGTGTATCTGCTCTAGGACAGGGCATTTTCTCCAGCCTGCTGGGATTTCTTGCTGGGCTTTCCTGGGCAATGCTGGTAGCAAGAACATGTCCGCTCTACCCAAATGCTTTGGCTTCTGCTCTTGTGAACAAGTTCTTGGGTTTGTTTTTTTTTCACAATGGTAAGAGCTATTGTTTATTCTAATTTGCAGAAAGAAGTAACACTTCTAGAGGTAGTTCTTCATACAAGATTTATGTTGACAACATTTAGTCCTACCCTGAATTACATGGCAGTTTTAGATGAACAGTTACTGGCTTTTCTTATAGAGGGAATGGCCAAATCCTGCGCTGCTGACACAACCCAAAGACAGCAATCTTAATTTACCACTGTAGGACCCTAGGGTGTGTAAACATTGACTTCAAAAGCCTTTAAACTTTCTTCTAACCTGTTGATACTAGGCACAATTGTTTTAACATCCCAGGTGAACCCCTCAGACCAGTACCATGTAATGGGGATCTTCGCCCCAGGCTCTCCACAGCAGGACACTGCACACACAGGATCTGCATCAATGCCAGCAGTAACGGGAGAGGAGATCAAACATGGTAAAGTCCTTCCTGTGCTTGTTAAGAGATTTTAAAATGTAATTCTTGCTATATGAAACCACATCATCTGAATTGGTACCTAAGCACAATTCACAAGGGAAACGGTCCTGCCAGCATAGCGCTTTTTGAGCAGCAACAGTTCAGTGTTTCAAACAAGAAGACATCAGAGCAATTAAAAAGTGAAGAGTGAACATGTATCTGGAAAGACAGTGCCTGAAGAGGCAGTTAATTTGGAGGAAGGAGAGATTGGAAGAGATCTCCAGGTCCATCAAAAGCTGACTGATCTCTATAGTAAGCAATGAGGGGTTGGCTGGTTGCTTCCTCCGATTCACGGAAACAGACTCTACAACTCGAACAGAGTTATATAGCAGGTATGTTTACTCCAGCGCCAGGGTGCAAGGAGATTTTTCTCCAAAAGGTTGCATTCCAACAGCACATTTTACCAAAAGCTTATAGACTGTGAATATACATATTAATTGGATTACATAGCACAAATATCCATATGCATAAGTGAGGCTGGGTTAGTTCGAGAGGCTGATGTCAGCCGTTTCTCTTTGCACCTGCCCATTGCCTCCTGGGGGGCGTCTCTGGGGGTCTGTTGGAGGAAGGCTCATAGTCTTTCTCACCTTGTACTTTTCCTCAGAGATTCTCTTAGCCAATTGCTTGAACAAGAAGAGTGGTTCCAGAAGGTTTACCACCTCTGTCTTATCTAAAAACACCAGTATACTGGTTTTTACCACCCATACATGGCTGTCTATCCTCTACAAAAACAAACTTGTGAGAGGGCATCTGCTTTCAAAGGACACGTCTCTTATTTTTGCTGAACACAGTAGCCCTTGGTAAGCTTTCACAGAACGGTCAGGACAAGCAGGATTATTAAGCAATATTCAGAAATCATTACAAGTTGCTATAAGTAAATAAGTTGCAAAGCAGGTGGTCATTTCCTTGTATCACCTCCTTTCTTTATTTCCCTTGGAAGGCTGTTGCAGAACCCAAATCTTCTAAGCATTAAGACGTTTTCTTCCAGTTTGCAGCTTAAAGTTAGTCAGGACCAGGCAGTACACATTTTTTCTGGTGCTCACACCCTTCAATCTTAGTCACTGTTCTCCCTAAGTGTTATTTCCCTCTCCTGCATTTACAGAAGTCACCCCACTCTTCACCCACTTGCTTTCCTGGCCCGAGCAAATCCCGCACTCCTGACATCAGCCCTCACGTCCGTCTGCCATGTCCCAGCGATCCCCGCAGCTCTCCTCGCCAGTTCTCCCAGGGACAGTTCATCTTTCCAGTATGTGAAGGACCAGCAGGGCCACCACATCAGACGAGCTGTGCTGTCGTCAGGGGCATTAACTCCCTTCTGCAGCTCCTGAAAACACTGTGCCTGACACACGGCGCTGCAGTGCTGTCTCATGCCCCCATCACACTGTTGGCTCCCAGATGCCCTCTTGTGCTTCCCTGGAGCTCCCTGTAATTTGTCTTCCCCCTCCTCGGTTTTGACCAAAGAAGGTCCAACTTATGACTCAAATTCTTCCCACTCTTCTAAATAACTTTGGGGGGGTCTCAGCTTTCTGCCCTTCAGATCAGTAGCTTATCATAACAGGAGAAGGATAGCACTGTTTTTCCTCAAGTAAGCAAAAACTTCAACTGTTTGTTTAAATATAAAATTAAGAGGAAGGGAAAAAACCAACAGCTAAGTGGAAAG